CAGTGTTGATGATGGTGGCGATTTTAAATACGATTAGATAATTAGAAAAATCTCTTCGCTCGGCCGGTCTAAACACCTTCGTAAGCTTTCCGAACTATATCTTGGTCAGAATTACGACTACCTTGTCGTATCAACTCGGAAATGTCCTGACATTGTGCCGAAGGATACCAACTACAACTGAGAAACTCAACTTAGTTAACTAAGGGAACGTGAAAAGACCAGAAGTAAAATCTACGATGGAAAGACCTACGTGAAAGCCAGAGTTTTGCGGTCGATGAAAGAGACGCCGTTCAGAGTCTTAGTAGAGTTCACACCTTAATGTGAAATTTGCGATCCTGTTCAGGAGAACGTGCAGTATTGAGTTTTGAATCGTTCTTAATTGGAAAGGCGGTAGAAGGGTGAAGCAAAAAAAATATTGTTTTAAATTAAAACCGATTACATTAGATTTGATCTCGTTCTCTAATGAGAGAATTTCCTGGTTTAGCTAGATAAGTAGATAATCTTTTAATTAATGACGGCAGTCATTTCCGAGCGAGAGCGAGTCAATTACAGAGTTGTTTTCAGACTATTGCCAAAGGCTTGGCGCATTCAAACTAAATGGCTGTAAAAAAAAAATAAAAAAAAAAACGAATAACGATGAGTGACAAACTGATCCTCACAGGATCTAAGCAATTGTAGAGAGTAATGCCCTGTCTAACACAGAATTCTATTTTTCAGTCTTCACTTTCTGCTTTTGCCTCATTTGCAGTTTTTTTATGTGAGGATCAATTGATACTTCATAACCGATTTGTTATCCTGAAACTCACCCTTAGTGTATCATTTTTCAATTTAGATCTTTTTTTATCGTTTTCGTAATGTAGGCGGTTGAGTGGCAATCGGCTGGAGAAGCTGCCTCCAAAAATTCTTGAAGGATTGTTCGCCTTGGAGGAACTGTGAGTAAAAATTTTGCGATATTTCTTTCCGAAAATCTTAGTCAATGAGAACAATTCTTTCTTGTGTATTGCGTTTGCATGAGATTATTGCTTTCAAGTCGTTCAAAACATGGTTTTTAAAACCTTTCGTTCTTAATTGAGCCAGTAGTCAACTCTTCGATCATTGAATTTGATCCGTTGTGCCGTTATGTACGAGTAGTTCAAAATAGTACTGTTCAAATTTATATGAAATTGGTAACTTGTATTTCAAAAATGTCAGTTATGGAAATGATTATAATCCATTGCAGAGTTGTTTATCAGTCGAACGTTTTACCGGTTTTACAATGGACTGATTATGGGTTTTATGGGGTGGTGGGGAGGGAGGAGGGGGGGGGAACTAAATCCTCGCGAGCTAAAAAAAAAATAAGAAGAAACATTTCTGAGCCTCCGATTTTTACCTCTTTCCTCTTTCTCATTAAAAAATGGATTCCATTTCGTTGTGCATCTGTTCAACAAGACGTTACAGATGCTGCAAGTACGAAAAGGAAGCACAAGATGCGCAGCAGTTTCAAAGCCTTTTTTTGTTGTGGGTCATGTGACATTGTGCGTGTCATGTTGACGTCATTGACGGACTTCAATAACTTTCCAAAGTTAGCTAAGTACCAGCAAAATAACGTCTAATTATAACCAACTGAATTCACCCGAGCAACTGCCTGAAAAGAAGTGCAATGGCCCTTAAAGTGATCATTATTATTATTTCACAATTGCGCCGCCCATATCAGGGCAACGGAACACTCGAAATGTATCAAGTTTTACACAGGGAAAATACGGACGGAAAGCGGAATAAAAAAATGGCCACACTGAAAGACCACACCTTGCTTTTTAAGCGCTCCAGAATTTGTAATTTGTTCACTGTAACACTTTGACGATTTCTCTCGTGTTGTATTTGTCCAACGCTCAGGCCTTATGCGATCGATGCCAGGCTCAGATGAGGCAGAAGGATGTATTTTGAAAACTAAAAACCAAAATACTAGAAATTGAAACAATAGTGGAATGGTAAATCCCTTATTCGATGTTTAACACATAATACGATCGAACATTTCACTAGTTGCTTGCATTTTCTTCGCCCTCGCGGAACACGGAAAATAGTGCTACGAAACTCGCACAACACCCGCCCGTATCATAATTATGTTGAATTATCGAATAAGGCGATTTGTTTACCAAAAGTAAAAGCGAAGAAAAATCGGACCGAAAAATTTTATTATTTTTTTCAGAGGAATTCTTTAAGTTAGAAATTACGGGGTGGAAGTAAGAGATAGACACTTACGTGAAGACCTATTCACAAGTTTAAGCCAATACATTTCACTTAAAAATAGGTTTCTTTTTTTCATTTATGAGATGATTAGATAGAAAACTCGATGAACTGCAACTGAATAAGTAATAATAATAAATAATAACCGAAACAGTTATCCAAGATTGGAATGACTGAGTTGACATTCGTCTCATGATAACTTTCCCGATGTCTTCCAAATAAAGTCGTTGCACACAGTAGGGAAAGAACTTCATAATATATCCCTTGGAAATGTAGTTTGTTATCTGGGACTCTCTTTTTCCTTTGTTTGTTTTCTTACTAATTATCATCTCATTCTTCAAATGTTAGGGACTTGTCCTACAATCAGTTGCAGAATTTTCCTCGAGGGATACTTAGCACAAATACCAAGCTGAGAGAATTGTACGTAGGACTTTTCTTTGAACTTAAAAAAAGCAGGTCAAACCTAAACTTTTAAAATTATTTGAAAATCTCGAGTATTTCCGCCTGGAATGTAGCTTCAGTTGGAACAAATCACTGAATCAAGTGTCATTTGGCGTTAGATGCCACATTAATGAGCAAGGTCTTTCTGCCACAGTATTGTCTTAAAAAAAAGTCTATCAGCTTTAAGCATATAATAAATATGTCCGTTAAGTCCAATTGTTTCATACTAGAGATTCTTAGTAATATTTGATGTTTTTAAAGACAGACAGAAAAACTTTTCCTTTCCTGATTTAGTAAAAAAAAAAACTGGTATTTATTGTTCGTTATCCGGTTTGGCTCCTGTCCGGCACCTAAGAGAAACGTTTAAGGGGGAGGCCTAACCTATTTTACAAATAAAATTTGTGTTCTTGAAAAGCTAGCTAACTCTTTACCTCAATAAATACTCTAAGGGATTTGTCAAACAACGAAATTCAGCGTCTGCCCAAGGATGTTTTTGGCAACCTTACCCGGATGGAAAAGCTGTAAGTGGCATTCGTAGAAACTTCACAGCAAAGGGAATTATAATGTACAGTTTTCCATAGAGCTTTATGGAAATTAATGCATTAAGACCATTATAAAAACAGAGCTTCGCGAATTTAGAATTTGTGACTCTTACGTGAAGCGTATCAAAATAAACTCCATAAGCTCAACTGGCTTTATATAATACTAACTTTGGTGGAGTTGGTCATTGAGAACAATCGAAAAAAAGAGGTCAATATTAAATTCAATTGTCTCACACAGCCCTTTTGCTTCACGTGACTTGTGACTATAATTTTTTCGCTGAGTAACCAGGGAACTCTGTAAAGATTGATTTGTGATGTAAGTGACTTATTATAGTTTGGTGCATCAGTATTGAAAAGTGATGTCATGATATGAAAACGCCCATGTTAACAATTAAAGTGCAAATGGTATCTTTTGCCTAAATTCTCAGGATCAGGAGTAAACAGTTTATGTACTCAGAAAAAATGGGTAGAACTTTGTAATTCTTCAAAATAGCTTTGCCAGAACCAATTGGGTTTTATTTCATGCCTATTTGGAGAGAACAAGAACCTTTCCAAGAATCTGAAATTCTATTTCAACTGACTTTTTTTTCATTTTATATATCGCTCACAGCTTACTCTCCAGTAACAAACTTCAGCGCTTGCCAAGATTAAAAAATCTCTCCGAGTTGAAAATATTGTAAGTGATTCACGTTTGTGATAGAACTGGCTCAGTACGTGTCTTGTATAATGAGCATTAATTAAAGGTAGCGTTGGCCAAAATCAAAGGATCAGCTTGGGTACGGACTATTTCTATGGCATCTTCTTATGACTTAAAAGTCTGTTTAAGGAAGTTAATTGAGTAAAAAGTTAAAAATAAACATCCACTTTGGAAAGAGATGCCATCAACTAAGAATAACCAGGGTTCAAATGTTTAAGGTGATATAACAAAATATAATACAACACATCCCTTACAATACTTTAACAGCACCCTTCCCTTGGGGCTTGACAAGGACCATATGCTAGAAATGATCGCTGATGATTGACGATTAACCCATATTAAACTTTAACAATCGATTGTCATTTTTCTTTAAAAAATGTATTAAAATTCTTCAGCGGCTTTCAAAACGTTTTCGTCAAAATTGAGTTTATTTGGGATTTTAAATGAAAACACAGGATCTATAAATTCCAGTTTTTAAATAACATTTTTCTAGCAGCTTTTCCAGATGTTCCAGAAAAGGATTGTTCAAACTAAAAGCGTAAAATTCTGGGTGATGCGATTAGAAATACGAGCTTTAACTCGTAAATGGGCGCACGTCCGATCATTCATTTACATGTCACAATAGCGTTACTAAGGTTTAACCATTGTTTACCTGGCGCCCAGGATAGTCCTTTCGGTGAAGACGTAACACGATGGAACTTAATTGTTCTTGTCACAATGCACGTGGCAATGTTTTGGTCCAAATACATTTATGAGATGTTTTTTCAGGAAGTGTCTGAGCACACTGATGAGCAGTAGAACAGTTTGCCGAATACCAAGGCGCTAACACACTTTCAAAGGAGGTTTCCATACTAAGCATGTTTAACTCGACTGACTTTAATTAGGGATGAAACAGTTTCTACGATATGAGACAGGGTTCGGGACTAAATTAGTCTCGAGGTCCTCAAAAGATTATGCTGGGTCAAGGTTACTTAAGAATCACTAAGTTTCGCAGTCAGCTCTGTGCTGCCAAATATCATTAAGGTCAATAAATACTTCCCCCCATCGAAGACTCTGTCATTGTACCGAGCGCCTGGTGCATTTTATTGTGTAGATACATGTATAACAACAGCCTCGTAGCCCTATCACCTGATCAGTTCCAAGGCCTGTCCAAACTGGAAGAACTGTAAGTAAACATTCGATAGAAATCATACCTGACAGCACAAGTAACTATTCTTGACCAAATATGTATTTAACCAACTTTAATTGATATTCATTCGCTCGCCGAATTGTTCAGCTTTTTTTTCTACTCTCGGTTGGAGGACACACAACTGCAAAAACAAGGAGGGAGTAACTCTCGAAAATACAAGTATTCATTATCATTTTAGTTTTACAGAGGGTCAGTAGAGCGAATAGACCTTTCTTTCCTCCTCCCACCACTTTTTCCCAAAGTTCACTAAATTTTTAAGCTAGTGTACTTTGATTGGATAAACCTCAGAAACCTTAGCAGAATTCTGAAAAAGATGCTTTGTCATCCATCCAAGATAGCAACTGCCACCTCGGATTTCTCCAGAAAAAGACAGAAAAAAAAGAGAATTAGAGATGTAGCAATTCTTTCCCTCACCCCCGAAAAAATCAACAGATCAGTGAAACAATGCTTTTATAGAAGTACAAATACTAGCATGCACTAAGTTTTGACATTTTCAGCAAGGTAACCGCAAACTGCATATCAGTCTAACTTTCCGGCTGTGAGGTTTTGTTTTGTTTTTTTGTTTTTGTTTTTGACTTTATTACTATGTTTTCAATATCGGATAGCTCTTAAAGATGTCGTAAGGAGAAGGCATTTAAGAATCAATGAAGATAGGAAGAAAGTTTATGTAAATACGTGCTTACCACTAAATTTTTCTATATTTCTGATAATAATGATATGCCCTCTATGTTGTTTTAGGGCTGTTTACGAAAACAACATTAACTACCTGCCACGTGAAGTTTTTAAAGGCATGAAAAACATAATGACTATGTAAGTAACTGTTTCTAAACTATCCTCTGATTAACGGTAACGAGGTACTGTAAAATTAGTAAGGGTCTCGTGAAGATGCAATTATAGCAATGTATAGCCATTATCTGCGACGAGTTCGGCTCAGGTAAATCAAAAGGCCTACTAAGTTCCAAACCAAAAACACGGACAATCTTCTACCCCCGAGGACAGATCATACCTTATGATCAAAACCATGTGTGATGGACGACGAAATATTACGATTGTGAAAGTGAAAACAGACTGATTAAGAGATCATATTAACTAGAAGAAGAGTGAACCACCAAAAGGCAAATCAGACAAAACCTTGAGAGACACCAGGTCTCTTTAACCACCAAAAACAAGATCCTGCTAAGGTATCCCCTTCCAGATTCAAACACTGAGTTTACAAAGACTTCTAGCGTGAAAACCTCTCGAGGGTAAGCATGACAATACTCATGGGGTTACTTAAATCGGCATCAGCCACGCGGATAGAAATAGATCTATCAATTGCGACTTAAAAAGAGAATGTTTTGTTCATTCTTGATAACTTAACTGTCACTTTGAAGAACTTCTCAGTAAAATGAAAATTCGTAAAAATACTTATGTGACATTATTGTATGGCGCACTGCCTAATGTACGGTGAGGTTCTTTTCTCGTTGCAGAACATTTTGAACAAATGGAAGATATTGCCTTCCATCCTTGGCTAATTTTCTGTCCAGTGTTGTTTTAATTTACGCTTTAATGCTTGTCAGTTGACGCTCTACACTTTTCACTGTTTCATCGTTCTGTAGGAGCTTTTATTTCAACAATATCCGTACCGTTACCAACGAACAATTCAAAGATGTCGCCCCAAGTATTCGATTCCTGTGAGTATAAGTAAACTGATAATATTCCAGGTGTGTTCAAACTACTTTGAGTTCAAGGGAGACAGATATTGTTGGTGCGACCTTCACGTGCTGTAAACTCATGGATAAGCACCCCTCCCCCATTTTAATGAATGTACAAGTGATCATACCACTGGCCGAATTGTTTAAGAAGGGAAAATGGAGTAAACGATTTTCACATACATACCACCACTGATATACTAAGAGTACCAACTGTGCCGCTATTATCGATCGGCTTTGTACATTAATGCACAGTTTATACTTTTATTTTCGCCCACATGTTATACTTCTTAGGACGATCATATCTGGTCACAAGAAAAAGTTTGGGAAAAACTTAAGGGAGGGCCCCTCCTCATAAAGTACCCTCTCTGTAGTGAGCGACCCATCTTTTCAACCTAAATTTGAAATGAGTGCACCAGGTGCTCATTGGAGGATTAACAGCATATGAATATAACAAATAAAGACACTTCGGCATAGCCTGTGTAAGTATGTTTTACATACTCAATGACGAGTTATCCGTCTTCGGTGTTAGTTATCTTTCAAATAGTTGTTGAGAATTGGGCAGGAAAAGGAACAAGAGAGAGCCGAAAAACTGATTAATACATAACGGTAATAGGACTGAGTGGAGTCCAATTCGGTCTGTAATCATACGAGTGATCAACAAAATCAGACGACGGCGAGGTGGGAGTCCGATTTGTTAATCACGACTATGATTACACACAGAATTAGATAACAAGAAGTCCTGTTACTGAGTAATCATAGCCATTTGAATTTCCGAAAAAACAAATTCACCTAAAACAAATATCTCCAGTAGAGACAATGTCTTAAGTAAAAAATTCCTCCATTTTGAAAATTCCCCAGTTTTTCTTTGAATAAGTGATTGTTGCTGTGATTATTTCAATCATTTCTGTGATTGGTGGATTAGCTGAGTAGGCTAAGTATGATTGGCTGCTTCAACTGTCCGATTACCGGTGTCCGATTACAGCCAACTGTCCGATTACACTGTCTTATTACAACTGTATGGGATGATTAGTGAAAAATGAAGCCGCGAATGCTCCAATAATATTCGAGGAATTAGTAATGTTTGTGATTAATAGGCTAAAGATATCGATGTTATCAAGAATTAGCGAGCAAAGTTTGCCTGAATTACTTTCCTTAAATTTGCAGGTACTTCCATTACAACGAAATGCGAGAACTACCGGAGGGTTTCTTTTCAAACATGAAGTATCTAATAACTGCGTAAGTCAAGTGAAATGTTCTCCACGCGAGGAGTTTAAAACTGAAAAATTTCATTTGCCAGTGCCCAGTTATACTGCACTGACTATATTACTATTACACTTTCGTTTTCTTGTAAATTTAGATCCTGTGACGGATCAAATTTGTATTTTTTCCCCTTTTATTGTTCATTTCAACTCTTTTTATGAACCGTAGGACTGTAGACACCAACCTGATGTGTTGCCATTTGACGAAGCAGGATGCAGATTGCGACTTTGCTTATGTCGACAGCTTCGCCAGTTGTGAAACTTTGTTCAGAAATCGAGCTCCGAGGGAGTGCCTTTGGGTGGTTGGAATTATGTCGTTGGTTGGTGCTGTGTTTGTCATTGTGTGGCGGTTGGTGTTTAAGGAGAAGAAGAAGAAAAACAAGATACAGTCCATCATGTTGATACATTTGGCTGGGGCTGATGGACTTATGGGTGTCTACCTCATAACTATAGGTGTGGTGGATGCCATTTGGGCAGGGGAGTATTATTTGCATGACTATTACTGGCGTTCAAGTTTGACATGTCAGATAACAGGTGCCATTGCCGTGTTGTCAAGTGAGGTGTCTGTTATGACGATTTGTTTGCTCTCCGCCGACCGGATGAAGAATATTCTATTCCCCTATCGTGGAAAGTCCCTTACACTTAAGGTTACGCACCTTTTGTGCTTCCTTATTTGGATTGTTGGTGTCATAATTGCATTTATTCCTACGGTGGGCTTCGACTACTTCGGTAGTCGCCAGAAAGGTCATCACTTTTATGGCAGATCAGTTGTATGTCTGCCATTACAGCTTTCCACTGATAAGCCGTCGGGCTGGGAGTACTCTGTTGCCATGTTTGTGGGTTTAAACTTTACCCTTGTGCTCTTTGTCGTTGTGGCATACACGATGATAATCCATAAGTCCTGCGCATCAAACAGGCGCATGGCTCAGCAAGGGACTGAAAGAGAGAGGAGAATGAAAGCCAAGTCAAGGGCAGCCGATCTGAGGAGGGAGGCCTCGCTCGCCAAAAGAGTGTTCTTCATTGTTCTTACCGACTGTGTCTGCTGGATGCCTATTGTGGTGATTGGAATGAGGTCTCTCGTGGAAAAATCCTTCCGTACACCTGGTGACCTCGCAGTTTGGATCGCAGTCTTTGTTCTGCCGGTTAACTCTGCCATCAATCCCATTCTCTACACTTTATCAACAGTACAGGTAGTAACTTGCAACCTTCATATCTTTGCTTAAACGTCTTGCTGCAGCTTGATCAGCTGAAGTTTAAAGGATACTTTCATAAACATTTTATTCTATCTCGTGAAGAATATCAAAAGAACTAATTAAAAAGAAAATACATTCCAATTTGCGAGAAAATTTAGCGGGTTTTGATATTTGAATATTTTGCCGACTGTCCTTAATCTGCCAAAAGAAACCATTTCCCATAAAAAAAAGTCTCGCCAAAAAAACGCCGCGTAAACTTATTACGTTTACTTTAACACGTCGTTGAAGTAATTTTTTAAAATAAAATTTTTTTTTGGTTTTTTCACTTGTCATCCTTTTGAGTAGTGGAAGTTGTAGAACTCAGAGGGTGCTATTACTAACTAACCAGTTAAAAAATAAAGATTATATAATTCCCGTACCTTGTCCGGTCATCTAGAACGACAACATTTTCGCGTTGCTCGGCATTAGGTATACCAGCCTTATTATGCTACTTACTAAGATACAAGCAGTGTTTAAATTTTTCTATACGTGCCTGAGAACTGCGTAACTAACGAAAAATAAAATTGTTTGTTTTCAAGTAATAACACTTCCGGTGAAGTGAAAAGATCGCACGGAAAAAAAAAGAGCCCTAACTAACAAAAACGGTTCTGTTTCTGGGTGACCTACTAAGCATAAGTGACTAGTACTCTGACTGGTTGAAACCTTCATATTGATCATTTAAGCATTGGACAGGACTCTCGCTCGGTTTACCGGCAGAACATCCCACGCGCGATGTTGGGAGAACTTAAAAAAGTTTTGAATCACCAGCCGAGAGCGAGGGACTTTTGAACTTTGCGAGTTTCTCACAGACATCCAAAGTTATTACCCAACTACTTTTAAAAATTAGATCAAGATTGATCGGTTCAGAGAACCATAGGTGTTTGACCAATTAGTACACATAGTATTCCAATTTGTTTTGTTTTGCGCTTTGTTCTTGATGACTTGCATTTAGGTACGACGTGTTCTGAAGGCTAAATTCCAACAGTTATGGAGCTATTTGGTGGAAAAGTGTGGACGAAATGAAAACAATGAAGGTAAATTTATCGAAAATCATCCTCCGGAAATAAGGACTAAGGATTAAGGATTAAGTACCTGTCTGATTAAGTTTTATTGTCACGTGATTACCTTCTGGCTTCTGTTGCACTTCTGCATGATTATCTTTTAAAGAAAAAAAAGGAAGGAAAAAAATGACTATCTTTGGTGATGTTGATTATATCTTCATACATTATTCACCCATCCACAAATCACTGATATTTACAATGATGAAGATAAATACCACTCGAGTATGTTTGACTAATGTCATTGCTGTTTTCCAAAGGCCAAGATCAGGGCGTTGAAATGCAAGTCATCGAAGAAGGTATGAAATATTTACTCGGCTCAAGTAAACATGGGGGAAAGTCGCTCGATTTCCTTAATCGCTCGGGTAAATCTGAAACGAAGAGAGACAGAATGCTATGAAGAATGGATGGGCAAAGCTGAAAATATTAAAACATTTTTACGTATTTTCTTGATTAAAACGTCTAGGCGAAACTGCTTATTTAGATCTGAACGCCGTAAGCGTAAAATGGGGGTTTAAATCGAGGTTCCACCCTTTAGTTTAAGTCTCACTTTCAAGTAACTACACTTAATTAAAGAGCACTGTTGTCAAATTTATACAAGAAAATGTTCAAAGGAAAAAGAGTAATCCCTTTAGAATAACGAACGACAAGTTTTTACGACTGGAAAAAGTGAAATTCGTGCCGTATTGACCGACTACTCCTTGAAGTCGGAGAATGAGCGAAGAAAAATCGGCGTAAAGTGACAGGAAACTAAATCCCGTCGATAGCCGTCTCGACTCGTATAAACGCCGGGGTTACCTGGTTAAATTTAAAATAAATGCCGGGGATGTTTAATGAAGAAAATGCGTAACAATCGTTGTTAACTTATTTATTTTTCTTGAAAGAGCTGCTACCCAAGTTTTTTTTCCAATAAAGATTATTGCCCTTTCGTTAGAGTTTATGTCAAACAACAGTGCACAAGATCAAAAAAATGTTATGATATACTCTTTGATTTTAAATGATATACTGAGAATGGTACTAAAGGAAGTAGCACCCGTGGTACAATCCACTTTTTGTTTTTTTAAACTTTTTTCTTTAAAGTTCAAATCCAACAAGACGCAGAGAGTGATGACAGCGATGACAGCGATGACAGCGATGACAGTGACGACGAATCGAGAGATCAAAGCGAGCATGAGCAAAACGCTGAGCAGGCCGAGCATGAAGAGCCCGAGGAGAGAGCTGTGACTGAACAAGAAGAAAAACCAGAAGAAGACCACGAAGACCCATCAGAGCTGAAAGACGAACCTAACAAACAAGAAGAAGAATCAGAAAACGAGTTCAAAGAATGCGAAGAGGAAGCGGAAGATAACATGGAACATGGACCTGACAAACAAAAAGAACAACTAAAAAAGGAATTCACAGAATGCGAAGAGCAAGAGGAAGATAACATGGAAGATGAGGCTGGGGAAGGCGACGAGTTAATTGTGAATAAGGGTATGTTTATCAATCCTCTGCTTCTTTTAAAAAAAGAACTTTGATATATTGAGATTATTTTCATCAATTTGGAGGACTATTGGTGAACGATCTGTCTTCATTTTATACCTTAAACAAATTGTTAGTTTCTACAATTTCGTTACCTCCCTTGCTCTGCTTAACTACGTTCAGCGGTTTATTCGAATAGTGAAGGAACTTTTCCTCAATGGAAAATCTTGGAGCGGTTTTTCTTTCAGCAGTGACAGGAAGCGCTTTTGCGAGGCTTACGTTGTACTACGGTGTCCCAATTTATAACAATCTCGCTATGAATTAGTCTAAGCAGAATCTAAGTATTTAACACACGGTACGTGACTGAGTGTCTTCTTTTTTTTTGTTGTGTCATGTGATTATGCAACAGATAAACACCAAGCAGATGATAATCTCCTAGCAGCCTCTGGGCGAGAGTCTCCAAGAGCACCACTGGCCACGTTTGATGATGACTCCGACCTTGATTTTTTTTACCCAGCGCTCGATGGTATAAAAGAAACGAGTGTGTAAACAACAACACTGTATTCTCAGATGAGTGCATTCGTTATGTAAGAGAAGTACATGTACCTTAAGTGTTGCATTTTTTTCTTGTTTAACAAATTAACTTTAAAATCGATTGCGTAGTTAGGTGTTTGGCCCCTGTAATGACTTTGAAATACTTCAACAAACAGTAGTTTTCGTACATAGTGTCAAAATACGAGCCTATTGCTTTATGTGAAAATGTAAGTGCCCGTGTCGTGTTATACCAGTTACATATTGATTATGATTTAATAGGCTAAATGTAATAAAAAAACGTGTCAATGTGTTGTTTAGCTAGGTTTTCGACTGTTTATGTAACACTTTGTACATGTACCATTAGAGATCAAAAGTATGTTAAGTCCCTTCAGCAGTAGGTAAGCTTTGAATTGGTATAACTTAAAATTATTTTAGAGGCCCATCTCTATCCTTTGCAGTAATATTACTTCAGATAACACTTCATTAACGAGAGTGAACTTTAAAATGGACAAACAGTGCTTGCTTTATTGGCGGATACCCGAATCAAAGATCGGAGAGCCCTTTTTATTAATTAAAATTTGAGTAATTACTAAACTTAAAGTTACAATCGATTTCTTGCTTAAGCTTAATGTTCAACGTAACCTACATATCTTATATATTCGCCGAGTAGATGGCTGTCTTGTATAACGTTACTAAGCCATATATCCTATTTAATCTAACGCTGTTATCAATACCTTACTTATGATTTGTTTAATTCAACTTAAACATCTGAGATTTTCAGTAGATGGCTGTGTTATATTACAATGCTAAGCCATGAATCATATTTATTCAAATTTTCAATTTGAATTTACCATAATATTATTAGCTATGATTTGTTTAATTCAATCTTGACAACACATAAAATATGACATAAGTTCCGTAGATGGCTGTTGTATAGCAATGCTAAGCCATAATTCGCATTTATTCAATTTGAAGTGAAGTACTCAGTAGCAGGCTGTATTGAATAGCAATGTTAAGCCATGAATCATATTTACTCAATCTGAAGTTACCATTAATTTCAAGTTACTATTGACAGCTTACTCATAATTGTTTCATTACAAGGTAACTTCTTATATATTTCGTAGATGGTTGTGTTGTATTACAATGCTAAGCCATGAATCATATGTATTCAATCTGAAGTTACCATTGATATCTTACTCATGATTTGCTCAAAAGAAAAAAAAAGTCCCATCCTATGTAATTAGTAGATGGCTGCGTTACTTAACAATGCTAAGCCATAAATCTTATTTACCCTACTGCACGCATGTACTAAGTGCTCAGGTCAGATGATGCACGTGTATCTGGCTCATTTATTTATTCATTTGGATTTGTTGTTATCTTGACTCATAAGTAAATTTTGCAGAAGCTTGCACAAAACAAAAGGAAAAAGGTATTACTGACGTAATACAGAAAGACACGAGGACGAATATCAAATAAGTCATATGTATCAGTCAATCTCTTTTGGTTCATTTTGAGCTAACGAATGAAGATGCTGTTAACGGATACAAATGGAAGTGTAGAATGCTGTATATTGTCAAGCTCGTCTGCCTAAGTAAATAAAAATCATAGAAAAATGTGGTTTATTTTAGATGACTATCCATTAACCATTGACCCCTATGAACGATTAGCATCTAATTTCTCCCCTCAGTCAAACAGTAAGGTCATGAGAATAAAGGAAATGATCACCAGCCTAAGAGGTTCTCAATTGTTTAACAAATTTTCCTCGTCAGCATCTTATAAACATGTACAGAAGATAACATGGAGAATATGCCTACTGTTGTTAGGTTGTATATCTATCAGCGTAGAAGACATAGGTGAATTTTTGTTGATTAAAACTTACCGCATCTCAATAAAATGCCATAATTATCCTAAATTTTCTCATTCGGTCTGATTGCCCACCCCAAACCCAGAAAAAAATTGTAATCAGGACGGAGTATTTTGGCAGACTGCATAGAGCTAGAAATGTCATTAGTAATGGATAAAAAAGTCTGTTTCAGCTCTATTCATCTGTCATTGTCTTTACATGTGTCAGAGGGTATAAGGAAACGTTTGACCTGATATGTCGCAGATTACCAAACTCATATTTGCAAGTAAACAATCAGAAACGCAATCTAACATCCCTCCAATCCTACGATATTTCGTCACTGTCCTGATATGCCGCGACCAAGAGATATTATATTGTTTTATAATCTCATGGCCACGATATAATGGCCACTTTCAAATTAAATAGAAAATAACACATGGGTGTGCGTAGTTATGGAATCTCTCTTCAAATTTCTCGTTCGCTGCGCTCACTCGTGAGATAACAAGTTGAAGACGTTAAGAGAAATTCCATATCTCCAAGCAGCCATGTATGATTTCTTTTCGTTACATAAACACCGTTGGCTTTTATATTACTAACAAGAAAATTCGGCGAATGACCTCTGATGAGAATGGTGAACAACACCTCGCCACTTAGGGCCTGTTTACATGGAGGTGGGGGACCCCAGGTAGGTGAGGTAACCCGCCTAGGTGGGGTAACCCACCTTTCCATATAATCTCTCATTTTATCTTGATCACGTTTACATGATAGGTAGGGTAACCCGCCAAGGCGGGTTGCCCTTTCTGCCAGGTAGGGTAACCCTGTCAGCCGGGGTGACAATTTGCCATGTAAACGTCTCAAGGTAGGCTAACCCGCCTAGCCGGGGTCGCATTCATGGCAAAAACCTCAAAAGCTAAACACGTGTTTTAAAACTTTGAACATTTCCTAGCCGTCTCAAGGCAGAAATCACCAGAAACCGCAACGAACACACGAGAGTGTAAAATGTATATCGGAATATTAGGCGTTGTAAATCGACCATATTTCGTTTCCCAAACTATTCCTTCTAACGTATAAGTCTACGATTCCTCGCGTAATCTAAAACCGCGTAACACAACGCGTGACGCTTTCATGAATAAATACATACATGTCCGAGAATTAATCTTTCGTCTTCGTCGAGATGTGAGCTTGGGACGCTTATGCTCAAACTCCCTAACTGCAAGCGCAACAACAACCTCAAGCTGAACCTCACCCCAGCACCCCGAGGTTGTAAGATTGCATGTAAACGTGTTTTATTTTTCGACCACGGCTAGGCGGGTTACCACACTGTAAATGTAGGTTTTATGACTGCGAGACTTGGTACAAAACTTCATTATTTGAGTTTAGCTGGTGTTTACAGGTTGGAAAAAATATATGTATAGATAAATATTGCCGCCATAACTAGACTTGAGAGCACTCCTACTCGCTATTAAATTGTATGTTTGTCGAAGAGTGCTGAAACATTGACATTAGCTGACATAGAATCAGTGGAGTCGGAGTTCTTAAATTTGCGTTGTATTTTGAGCTAAAAACCTCCCAGAAAGGGAGTTAAAAAAATTCAATGAGGAACTCGAAAAAAGCGTTGAAGACAAAAATAGTATTAATATAAGCACGTCAACACAATTTGCACCACATACGTGGCAAATAATTGACTTGAAAAGAGCGATGTTGTTGACTGTCAGATTCTGAAGCATTTTCACTGAGAAACACGCGCAGCGTGGAGAGAAGAATTTGAACCATCTACACTGAACAACAATCAACGGGGCGAGTTTGCTGGGAATAAAAAAAATTTGGAAATCACTCCGACAGAAGTGTTAAACAAGACCAGATCGCAGTCCGCAGAATTCCTTGAGTTCCAGTGCTGCTTGTATTTTTCTTCAAATCTGATTCCTGAAACTGAAAATTTTTAAAACTAATGAGACGAACTGATTTGAAATCTCAAAGTGATTAGCATTTTTTAACTTTCTGTGTGTTCGTTTCCACGTGATGAGGTTTGTAAAACAGTTCTTATCGGCATAAAAGGTGATAGTCTTGTTTTTCAACCACAATTTATCCCTTTGTTTGTTGTGCATTGTAAATCTCGTCATCTTTTCGCGCCGTTTGTTGACTCGTACTATTCTTCTCACGGCCACTCCATAGAGTGCCTGACATATTTAATCGCCGTAACTTCAAAATAACGTCACTTGAGATTTTACTGAATTTAGAAAGAGTGAATAACTAGACGTACCTTTCTGGTACGCTTCGGCAGCAAATCAGGCTCGTTTGTTATCGCCAGGGGTATATTGGCTCGACTGCGTGCCAAAATGGTACGGTAGGTGAGAACTGGGTGAAATATCTATTAGATCATGCAAGAAAGAACACGTGGATGATTGTCGCGAGCGCTGGCGCTGGCGCTGGCAAGAAGAGCGAGAGTTTTTCAACAGGCTGTATTTAAGTGCAAAGCAAAAAGGCAAAAAAGGTTATGAACTTCAGTGCCTTCAGAGGATGAAGTCCAACATCATATCACAATCTGCCGCTTCAATTAAACAATGGTCGAAAGTAAAAGTGAGGATTCTGTTACAACTGCAAAGAGAGCTGAGGTGAGTCTGTATGTGTTATCATTTCATCGGGCGATACGATCCTTTAAAAGTTTCAGTGGTCTTACTT